GTTTGTGGGATTGTGATCAACAATGTATTTATATTGCACTGTACTTTCTATATTAGCTTGCACAGAATAGCAATAGCATATATTGGGTAAAACTGGATTGTGAATGTGCCAAAATCTGCAACTGATTGGTACTGTCCTTAGTGTTTGCAGGAAATTCTGCATGTGGATCAGTAGATAGGACCAAGGCTGTTAGCATAGCAATAGCAGTAGTTCTTAGACTTATATAACACTTTATAGTTCTTTACAGCCCTCTCTGAGTAGATAACAAAGTCAGCTGATTCCCCCCAACAATCTGGGTTTCCATTTTACTGTCCTTGGAAGAATGGAAGACTGGGTGAACATTCAACCAATCAGGATCGAACTTCTGGCAGTGAGCAGAGTTAGCCTGCAATACTGTAGTCTAACTACTGCACCACAATGGTTACTCTACAACAGGAATGTCAAACTCGCATCGTCACAGCATCATCATGTGACGTTTCATGACTTTTTCCCCCTTTGAGTGTGACACATCCGGCCCACAGGCCACGAGTTTGACAGCCCAGCTCTATGATGTCTGTGAAAGCCATAATTGACCAAAGCCATAATTTTTTTTTAAAAAAAATATTATCCATGGCAAGGATAATACAAATCCAAAAAATGAACAGGAGGACATTCCAACACAAAAAATGGCTGGAAAGATATGAAAAATGAGACCTAGTGATTGATAGCCATGCTCTTATTCTAATGGATGATGGCATTATGGATGACTAGGACCTGATTATAATAATCCTAAGATTAGAAGAAAACAAATTGTCCCAAAATTTCCTTTTCACTTGGTAGTGGTGTAAGAAACAAGAAATGGGGGAGGGGAGTTTATTAATTCAACTCTTCATTCAACTTTCCTTTTGTCAGTTGTCGCATAGCCCTATTTTAGAAGCACCTTCCACCTCCTTGCAACTTCTATTCAACTTTCATCTTGATGAGGGGAAAGCCTGACCAGCCATCAGTTACTTTAATGCTTGCACTGAGAGTAAATTAGCTCACAGACTCTATTTTAATCCTCCCTGAGTAGGAACAATTGGACACAAAATGCAGATTATAAATCTGATTCTTCCTATTGTGCCTAGACTATAACTGAACAGAAGATAATAACAGAGTCGTAAGGGAGCCTGGGGGTCTTTTAGTCCAATCCCCCCCCAAGTCTATACCATTCCAGACAAGTGGCTGTCCAGTTTCTTCTTAAAAGCCTCCAGTGATGGAGAAGCCACTCCTTCTGAAGGCAAGCATTCCATTGGTTAATTGTTCTCAACCTCCCCAAGATGCTTTTTTATCTGCATATTGAAAGATAATTACTGGAATTCATTTATTTTATTAAGTAAAAAGAAATGATTTGCAATTACTATGGAGAAATATTTTTGAACTGTATTAAGAAAAATCTGACTCGCTGCAATACCCATACAGATATATAATGGGTTGTCCATTTTATTGATCTTTTTAAAGTTAAATGTGCTCTAATTACTGTTCTATTTTATTTCCATTTTATTATGGTAATTATAGTTACAATATTTTCATTCAGTTGGGAACTAAAGCAGAAACATTCAGAATTCAATTAATTTCAGTAATATTTAATTGAATCTCCTTTTATTTGGACTTTAACTAATGACTAGAACTAATTAGGTACCGTAATTAAAGTTATGTACATGCAGTTGCCCACTATATGTTCTCAGTGGTTAGGAATCCCCTTACCTTTAATATTAGTTCTCCAATCAGTCCATTCCAAGTCCCATTCTCCAGTGGAAGTCCGTATTTTTGATCAGGTGCAACATAAATTTCATATGTGAAGCCAAGGTAAGTAGATAAAGATTCCAGGACATCAATTGAGAAACCCTGATATTTCTTTGGTTTGCCCAGAACATTTTCTGACACCATCACAAATGGTTCCTCCTATACATAGAATAAGAAAGGAAAAGAAAGACACTTAGGGCAAAGGAAATTCATATTTTCATTATTCTTTACCCCAGTTTCCTCCTCTCATTTCCTTTTTAAACTTGTAAAACTTTGAGTGCTTATTGATAGATTCTGGTGTTTCCAAGTTGTCAATTGTAGGCCATTATTTCTATTTTATGTAGCACAGAAGTATTCCCTGTTACGTATTGTAAGGCAGTTCAAGTCTAGAGGTAGAATGACTTACTCCATTTTTGATGGTCAAATAGCAGTACTTCAAATGAGTAGCAATGTGTTTTACTAGATCCCATTAAAAAGAATTGCAAGATAGGGGAGACATGGAATACTATATGGTATGGGAAAAATAATACAATTAGTTAGACTGTAGAAATAAAAAATAATGTAAATATGTATATACTGACTTAAATGGAAATGTTGATGTCAAATCACTGTGAAGACTGTAAATATGTTGTTTTTATATGTGTTGTTGCTTTATGTGTTGTTGTTTCTAAATGTGAAAAAGTTCAATAAAATATTTTTAAAAAATAACATTGTTAATAGTACAGTTTACAGTTTAATTTTCTTGGAAAGCATGTTTCATAACATGAAGTCAAAGAGTATAGCACTATGCTTTGTGGGCCCATTACACTGAAGTATATATTCCAATTCTCTGGAGTGGGGTTGTTATGAAGAAGCATGCATTTCTGGACAGAGAAAATAAGAATGGAATTAAACTTACCAAATGCATTTTTGCATGAAAATGGAACTATATATCCTCATTCAGAGCCACGAGTTAAGGCATACAATTAGAATTATATAAGTGACAAGAGTTGATGAAGATTATTTCTGTACTAATTCGTGACCATCCTTCTCATGCTATATATTGAAGGCATAGTTATGTTATTATTATGCAGCCCTGCTGGATCAAGCCAAGACTTATATATAACAAGGTACACAATAATCAAATAAATGCATCTGGAAAAAGCATAGGCTTGCAGAGAAGGGCAACAATTCCTGAGGTCCACTAGGAATTGATATTTAAGGTATGCTGCCTACGATTCAGTATCTTGAACTGGTATCCATTGCCAGGTCTATTTTCCATCAATTTATCCATCAATCAATAAAGTATCAATAAAGTATATTTAATTAGTAATAGTTTATTAATTAATGGAGGAATAGGCCTGTCAATGGCTACCAATTAAAAGACTTATTTATTAGCCCTATCCCCCCTTAATAATCTAGTGGTGGCTTTTATACATTTGAGGACATCAAATTCTATGGGTTGAATAAAAAAAAGAGTTCCCTTTATTGGAACTACATCTGTCCACATGAGTGATTCTACTGTAACTTCGTGAGAATGGAGAACTTTCTTCTCTCTTACTTTCACATCATAATAATGTCCATATGTTGTTTCCCCTCAACTGCATTGTCTATAAACCAAGATCCCCAATATTATAGCCTGTGTTGTAGATGAACTGCTTTAGACCCTTAAATCAGTTTTGATGTACAATATCTTCTTTCCTCTATTGTGTCCACTTTGAGATGTGTAATTATATTGGTAACTTTATTTTCAGGTCCTTCCCAATAACTGCTAAGATGGGATTTGCTTTTGTGAAATCACCAACTGTCGTTGTTGTCCAAACCAAGAACAAAGTTAGAAGCTGTGTCCCAGGAATCCAGTAGAATTCCATATGCCTCCAGGCTTGAAATTTTGGGCCTGGACAATCTGGAACTGCATCGCCTGCAGTCCAATCTTAGCATAGTTCACAAAACTGTCTGCTATAACATCTTGCCTATCAACAACTTCTTCAGCTTCAATCACAATAATACACGGGCAAACAACCGATACAAACTTAAGGTAATCCACTCCAAACTCGATTGCAGAAAATATGACTTCAGCAAGAGAGTGGTCAATGCCTGGAATGCCCTACCCGACTCCATTGTTACAGCCTCAAGCCCTCACAGCTTCAACCTCAAACTGTCTACCGTGGACCTCACACCATTCTTAAGAGGTCCTTAAAGGGGGCGTACATAAGCGCACCAGTCTTACTGTCCCTATTTATCTGTATTTACTCCCTTTGTTCCTGTTTATGTTCATACTTATACTTGTTATCTTGTAAATGTTTGACAAATAAACAAACAAACAAACATAAATAAATAAAACCCCTCTACTACACAGCTTGTACCACAGTTTTCTAAGTAGCTAATCGACCTATGCTTAAGGAACTGCTTTCAAGGCTGTCCATCAGGGTATCATCTTAATTTTATCTTAATTTCCATAGCTGACAAACCACAGCTTCTACTCTAGTAACTAAGAAACTTTTCACATTATTCAGTAGGTCTCTGCATGTATTGAATTGCCCATCTTGCAATATTCAGTTTTTATATTTAAGTTTCTAGTTTCCAAATTCAGAATTATCGGTAAAATCTATTTTCAGTAGAGCTGTGGATGTTTTTGTGACAACGTTATCAACACTTAATTCAAGGACTCCTGCCTTTCTGAAGACATTCAAGAAAGGCATGTAATAATCACCCAGCTATATTTTAAATCACATAATGTGATGCAATCTTAGAACAGAATTTAGGGAACTAAAATTTCCACACTTGGTTTTATACAGAGTATACAAATAGTCATATGACTGACAGAGTTATTGCAACACTGAACAGCAAGGATATTATACATAATATCCTTCAATCAAAACATATTTTGATTTAGAATGATATAAGATAGCTTATTTTCCTGTTAAATAAATCTTATATGCTGCAGTTAATAGAAGTATTGAGAGAGAGAAAGAGAGAGAGAGAGAGACAGACAGACAGAGAGAGAGACAGAGACAGACAGACAGACACAGAGAGAGACAGAGAAAAAGAGAGAAAGAGATGGAAAAAGTCAGAGAGAGAGAAGGAACTGCACTATTGTGCACATTTTGTATTTCCCTCTTCTGTTAAAATTCGATGCATTGTGTACAGTATTTCTTAGATCTGTTTAGAAAAAGAGTGACTCAAATGATGATCTTCACATAAGGAAAGACTTATTCTTATATCCTTTGTTGGGATATTAGATACTAACAGTTAATAGTTCAGAATTTGAATTCAGGAAGTTAAAAGTGACCACTAGTTGCTCCTCTGATTTATAAAAAAGCTTTTGAAAAGGCTTCACTGCTTATGCTCAACTTTGAGGAAACCAAAGTCAAAAGTAGGCAGGTGAAGAATTTAGGGGTAACTTCTACCCACAACAGCTAGCTACAAATTAAAGATCCCCAAACTGTTAGAGTATTAACATTTTGCTGAAGCATGAAATAGATGACTTTTCAACTCTTGAGCTGATTTATTATCTTTCATTTTTCAGAGCATCCAAATGTTCACTGCAGATGTTAAGCTCCAGGGGAAGTACACATTGCAGATTTTTTTGTGCTTGGAATTTTGCAAAGAATGCTCATTAATACGGTCATTTCTGTAATGACCAAATAGCTCTATTGAAAATTCCATATCTTGAGGCTCGCACACAATCTGTCCATAGTTAGAAATGAAGGATAAATTCTGAAAAAAAGGAAAGAGCCATTCTAACAAAAGTTTCTCAAGTTAGGATGCAGTAACAAAAGTTATTCTGTAAAACTATATACATAAATGAGAAACCAGAAATAAACACATTTATTTCCTTCCTTCCTTCCTTCCTTCCTTCCTTCCTTCCTTCCTTCCTTCCTTCCATACTACCTACCTACCTACCTACATACCTTCCAACAGAATACCAGTGTTGGAAGATCTTTTAATCTAATCCCTTGCTCAAGCAGGAAACCCTATTCCATTTTAGACAAATGGTTTTCCAATCTCTTCTTTAAAATCTCCAGTGTTGGAGCACTTATAACTTCTGGAGACAACTGGTTCCACTGATTAATTGTCAGGAAATTTATCCTTAGTTCTACGTTGGTTCTCCCCTTGATTAGTTTCCATCCATTACTTCTTGTCTTCTCTTCAGGTCAGGGGTGGGATTCTACCAGTTCGCACCTATTCTCTAGAACTGGTTGTTAACATTCTAAGCAGTTCAAAGAACCGGTTGTTGGAAGAAATTACTGGCCTAATCCTGTAAGGAAGGCAGGAAGGAAACATTCTGGTGTTGCTTACAGAAACTGCCTCTCCGTTAACCCTTATTACATTCTTGGCAGGACTAGACTTCCTGTCTCAGGAATGTCTCTGGAGTTTTTTCCCCCTCCTTTGCTGGTACTTTGCTTGTGTGGAGTGACCATTCAAAGTTACAATGGCACTGAAAAAAGTGACTTGTGACCCTTTTTCCACACTTATGACTGTTGCAGCATCCCCACAGTCATGAGAGGCCAGGCGAGGAGATGCGTGCCTCGATGTGAGGGATATTGAGTTGGCCACGTCCAGCCAATAACATGATCACCAACTAAGCCACGCCCACAGAACCAGTTGTTAAAAAATTTGAATCCCACCCCTGCTTCAGGTGCTTTGGAGACTAGATTGACCCCTTGTTCCTCCTTCCTTCCTTCCTTCCTTCCTTCCTTCCTTCCTTCCTTCCTTCCTTCCTTCCTTCCTCCCTCCCTCCCTCCCTCCCTCCCTCCCTCCCTCCCCTTCCGTTCCCTCCTCTCCCCCTCCTCCCCTCCCTCCCTGTATTATCTGAAGTCAACTCTTATGTCACAATACACTTATGTATTTGCCTTAGCATTTTTCCTTGATTTTCTGAAAACGGTTAAGAGAATTACATTTCTGGAATCCAGTTCTAAATATTCCAGGTCACTCCAATTCAGAAAACATCCTGCACATCTTTCTTTACTATCTGAGGTTTAAGTTATAGCTTCTTCTCCAGTTTTCTCACATTCAGAGAATAATGGTTCTATAGCTAACATATTTTATCAACTATGAGGCTTCAAAAAGGTCAGGGACTTTGTATATTCAAGGGTAATAACAGTCTGAGATAGAGTAGCTAAGGCATTAATCTGGTCTTGCAAAGTCTGGTCTACACCCATAGTTGGCCTTAGATC